ATAAGTCCATCGTATCCATATATAATGGATAAGTTCTCTGTCTGAAGAAAGATGCAAGAAAAATTTACACACACACACATATATATATATATATATATATATATATATATATATATATATATATATATATATATATATATATATATATATATATATATATATGTGTGTGTGTGTGTGTGTGTGTTTTATTGTAATGTTTATCATTTACAACTATGTCGATTGTGATTTTTTTTTTTTCGTTTATGAAATTTGACCGTTTTACTAATGTAGTATAAAAACCATATGATAAATTATGGATTAAACTGGATGTAAAATTGAATACGTTGTTTGTGTAATTGATTTATTAATTGACTGTAGTTGATATAAATATTAAAGCGTATATTATATTAGACCTAAAACTAATAAATCGACTGTACAAAAGACATAGTTGATTTGTAAATCAACTATAGTCGATTATGTAACTGTCACGTAACAAATACTAAACTCGATGGCAAAAAAACCGAAGTGTATCGAAGGAATGGGAGAAGCTCTGACATTATAATTGTCTAACTTATATTACTCTAATACTTTCTTCTGAAAATTTTATTATTATATTTACATATTACTTTATTTCAAATAAAAAAATAATACAAAATTATATATTAAATAAACTAAAATATTTTTTTATGTTGATATGGTATTTGACTAATCTTTAAAAATACAATTAAGTGTAAAAATAAATAGAGAATAATTTATTGTATTATTATTATGATATTTTTTATAATTATAATTCGAAGTAGTTATTGATATTAATCTTGATTACAAGTATATATTATTTAAAGAAATTATCTATTGGTATTCATGTAATATAATAAAGTATTTAAGTCTAATTTGGTATTTTTGATTTAGTAAATAACCAAATAAAATTTTAAATAAAAAAGATGGGATGTATGTTTTTTTAAGACAGCTTATAAGAACCCTAACAACTTATTTAAAAAAAAATTAAAATACTTCTTAAAAATTATTTGAAATAATTTTAAAGTTTATAAGTTCTTAAATATTTTATAAGATGTTTTTAGTAGTTTATAAATTTAGCGAAACAGACTCTTAAAATAGCTTAAAACCTCATTATCCAAATACTTTGAAAATTAATTCCAAAAGTAAGACATAACCTTATTAACTCTTAAAATAGATTTCCAAATGAAAATAACTCATTAATTATTTTGTGGAAATTATTTATTAAAATGAATTTTTATATGCCATGGGATACTTTTTTAAATTATTCTAATTTCGTGTACGCAACTGAACCCGCAAAATAATATTGTTATTGGTGCCTACTGAAAGAGATAGTATAGAATCAAATTGTTTTATTTGAAGATAGATAAATCGAGTAGTCGTCCATATTTAAATTGAGACCGTTCTGACTTCTATATGTTTTTTTTTTTTAAATTATGCCGTCCTTCGAATTAAGGTTAAATTATAAAAACTATGAATTTTCTAACATGTCCACTGTTATGGTGTTAAATTTAACTTTTTTAATCTTGTGGAATGTTGACTAGTTTGTAATCAGTGGATGAAAAAACAGTTTCTGATGCACCACAATCTGATATTTACAAATTAAAAAACACATTTTATAATCATCTTGTTGTAAAATATAGAGGTTGGGTGAGATAAAACGGATACAAATTAGAGAATATTCTCCATAATCTAGAGGATTCCAAATTTAAAACCACAACGATGGACGTGTAAGAAGGTTTATAGTTTAAGAGGGTGGTTGTAATTATTAAAACATGAGAGGTTTTCGTAATTTAATCTTATTTCAGGGACCGTCGTAGTTTTCTTTTTCTTTCTTTTTAGGGAAGACCATTCGGTATATTGAGAGATAAGAAGTGGAACGCATGTATATAGCTCGGTTCAATTGACTCCGTAAATAGCTAATTAATTATTTATATTGGAATTTCCACATCAGAAGAGTTGACTTTCCAATCGTGATACAACATTTCTACTATATTAGTGGGATTTTGATACTTCCATTGGAGGAGATTATTTTAATTTTGAGGTATTAATTTATATGTTTGATAATTCATTTTATACTCTCATTAATAGGATTGAATAAGTACAAGGGTGTTTACTTTTTATACGAAAAGGTCCAGCCAACTTTGATTTATTAATCTATGTTTAGCCATTTAATTTGTTCACTTTTACAAATAAATCCACTATCATCTACTCCCTCCGTTTCTAAATAAGTGTCTTTTTTTTTATTTTTCATAAAGATTAAGAAATTCAATAAATATATCTTGATTTTAGAAAATCCATATAGAAATGACTAAAATAACCTTTATTACTTAATGATTTATAAGAAAAAAAATAATGATTAGAGTTTCATTAATAAGGTTAAAACAGGAAAAATGACTTTAATGCAGTATTAAAAATCTAAAGTGACAGGTAATATAGAACAAAAATATTTATAAAAAGAGACAGTTATTGTGGAACAGAGGGAGTATTATAAATAAAGACAACCCTAATGTTCATGTTAAGAGTACCATCAATGCTTTAAATTAGATTCTTGACTTCAGACCCTAGTTTACAAAGTGTTCATGAAAAAAGTCAATCGTGGCAGAAAGAAAATCGAAAGGAGAAAATAGTTATTATCAACGACGGTGGCAGTTAAAATTGGGGTAATTAGTCAAAATCAGTCAGTTTGTGAAATTAGAGTTTTTGGAAATGAAATTGAGCATATCAAAACTTTTAAGGAGATACTTTTGCCTTCCGTGAACCTGTAGCCCCTATCTATTGTTTTATAGGCGGTTATATGCAAGCCCCTTTTATTATTAGTTCAAGACCTTCAATGTAAAAATAATAATTTACCCTTAATAAAATTTAAAATTAAATAAAAAATACAAAATATTAAAAAAATAAGAAAAATCATTTCTTTTATGCAAGACCAAATAAAGAAACCCCTCTTTCTTATTTCGCGATTTAAAAATCACCTCCTTCTTCTCCTTTTTTTTCACAAACCCACCAAGAAATCCTACACACCAAAATTATCAAATACATATCAAACATTCACGATGGAACCAGAAAACAACAATATGGTGGTTTACGAGGGTGGAGAACACAATGAAATATGTTTTAACCGTTTATTTTTGCTTTTTGGTCGTTTTTTCTTTTGGAAAAAAAATTCGACGATACCAAAAATCGGTCTGCAAATACTAACCACATTCCGAATAAAAATCGGTACTTAAATACCGATTTTTGTAGTACAAATCGGCATGACAACACCGATTTATTTTTGTATTATCGGTATTGTCATGCCGACTTGTACTACAAAAATCGGTTTTTAAGTACCGATTTTATTATATGTATTTTTTTAAGACCGTTTTTCCATACTTTCGTGCAGCAACCTAAGGGATTGATGGAGGATTATTCAAATGAATTATCTAACGAATAAATATTTGAGACACGGAAAGCTCTACTCGATTGGGTTAAAGGAGTTGGTAGACGCCACCGAATGGTGATAAACATTTTCGTTTCAAATATTTAAAAAATATCAATTAACCAAATATACAATGTATTATTTAAAAAGAATTTGAAAAATATCGGTATCCGAAAACCGATTTTGTACTCAATAATCGACATTAGAACGCCGATTTTGACTTGTAAAGTCGACATTGTGTCGCCGATTTGGTTAACGAAAATCGGCATTATGACGCCGATTTTCATGTACAAAATCGGTCTGGGTAAACCGATTTGGGAAACCAACGAAAAAAAAAAAAAAAAAAAACCAATTTCAATCTCAATTTTTTTTCCAAAATTGGCCAAAGCATTGCAACCCAACAAGAAATAAGCATAGATTTATGTTCATTCATACATATTTATTATGAATCGATGCTCGATTAGTATTTTCAAATTTACAAACAAAAGTTTAGTAAAAAGGACATCGGTGCTCGATTAATGTTTTCGAATTTACAAACAAATGTTTAGTAAAAAAGACTTACTTGTTGGTGGTGGTGCGGTGGTGGTAACGGTGCGGTGGGTGGGACGCTGGTCATCGCCGGTGTGGTCGAAGTCTCGCTGGTTGGCGTCGCGGCGGTCTGGCGGCAACAGTCGTGATATTTTCTTTTTGTTTTTTTTGTTTTTTTTTTTTGTCTTGAACAAATAAAAAATAGGATTTATTTATATTTGAGTATTATTTGTGGATAAAGGTATATTTGTCCTCTTTGGTCTTGATGTAATAAAATTAGATTAATTTAGGGACTTGAACTAATAAACTCCTTTATGTGGGTTTGAACTAATAAAAAAATGGGCTTGTATATAACCGCCGCCTTTATATAAATGTATTTTTGGGTATATTTATTTGTTAATAAGTAGTCCATTATGAACCTACAGCTACATGTAAATGCCCTCGAAAAATAATAGGGCGAATTGGATATAATCAACTGAAGAGAACTTAAATGCACATATGTTTATAAAAAAATAGTTTCACATATAAACTAATCTGCATTTTTTTTTTCTAAAAATATTCCTTAAGATATAATTTAAATTACTTCCATCCATTAAACTCTAACTTCACCAATATTTTACATTAACCTCATATTTAACAAATATATCACTTTAACCCCATTTTCACATTTTTTTTAAATAATTTTTTTTTCAGAAAATAATTTTGTTTTTCTGAACTTATTTTTCCAGCCGGTCTCTGGCGCTGATTTTTTTTAACGACTAACACAGTAATTTTATTGTCTCACACCGTAAAATCATTGTTCCAGACATTAATATTGCACTGACATAGTAACATAGTAACAGTACAATTACTAAAATTAATGTCCCTCCAACGAAGTATACGGGGAGAGGAGCAGTCCTTCCAGGTTAGGGAAATTAGATGTTATATCTAGTTATTTATATCGGGTGGACTTCATGTTACAACACATCCAAATGGGTGAGTGTGATTGTCGCTAAATCTATGATTACAAACACTAGTAGAAAAATGGCTTTATACTACTATCATTAACCATAGTAAAATGTATCAAATTCGTACTAAAAAGGTTTTTGCTACGAATTTGCCCCGTAGCATATACGGACATAGACAAAAGTTTTGCTACGGTAGATGGCCGTACCAAATATTTTTTTGCTACGGTAAATCCTAGTATTTACTAAAACTTCAAAATTGTTCCGTAGTAAAAAGTACATTTTTTGTTACGACTTTTTACCGTGGCAAAAACATTTTTAGTAATAAGCAATTTTTTTACTAGTGAAATCCACATGTCACCTATTGAATGGCAATCATATTTTCTACTTTTTTGAATGTTTACTCAGTTTGGAATACTCCTATGTTAGTAACAAACAATATGGTGAAGCACTATCTTTTGGAACTAGCTTCTTCTTTGTCCTCCTCCTCCACCTCTGTTGTACTTGTTCTTCCAAAACAAGAACAAGTACGCACGGTTTGATCGATTTTTTTGTTGTCCTGAAATAAGAATGGGCATCATAAATATATACAAAAGTTTAATTCATAGAAAGCCAATTCAATAGAAGAATATATGGCCAACAACGTGTGCGGTGTCGTCCAATTAGTGGTGGACAAGCTCGGCTTCGAAAAAAGCCGATCATTCAAGGGGGTGTCGGCCTCCACGGTAGAGAACCTCTCGCAGGACCTCATCGTATCATTACGTTTGGTTGCCTCCGCCGAAGCGAAACATTTCACCAACGACGACCAATTCCGCCATTTCCGAGATTTCCTCTTCTACTTTTCCAAAGACCTCGACGATTACATCGAGTTAGTCAAATCCGGCCTTGAACACGTGAACCCGATAAACATCTTAGAGTCGAAGCTCGAGACTTTCATCTCCAAGATCACCGATTCTCTCACCCTGGTTCGCCAGAGCCCTCTGCTCGATCAGGGTTCTCAATCCAGGCCCGAAGAAGAAGAAACGTTCTTGTTCGGGCCGCCAGAGAAAGAAATCAGGGAACTCTTGCTCCAGGAGAGCATAGAGTTCCCTGTCATCTCTTTCCATGGCATGGGTGGCATGGGAAAGACGACTCTGGCGGGCGCGTTGTACAACGACGCGGGTGTACGCCGGAGTTTCCAAGCGTTTGCTTGGGTTAATTGCGCCCGGAAGGAATTCTACGCCATTACGGTGGTGAAGTCTATACTCGGGCAGCTTCTTCCACGCCAGAAAAAAGTGGTCGCGGGGTTGTCATTTTTGGATTCGACGAGGATGCTGTACCGGCTGCAGCAGAAGGTCAAATGCCTGATTGTGATTTGCGATGTGAGGACGAGGGAGAATTGGAGAAACATGCGCGTGGCTTTCCCTATCCGGGACGAGACCCGGACCCAGATCCTGATCACGACCCGGATCGAAGAGGTGGCCGCTGACTGCCGGCAGAATGGCAAATTGTACGGAATGAGACAGCTGGATGCTGACCGGAGCAACCGACTCTTTAACAAAATTGCAGGTTGGGTTCTGTGTTTCTGATCATTTGTTTTAATTTTATTTTCTTACTACACAATTTTCAAAAGTTCGTTTTTATTTGTTTTACTAGTTATCCTAATTTCATATATAAATTAGTGCACATTTTGGAAGATTTAACAAGTACTCCCTCCGTTCCTAAATAAGTGTCGTTTTTCACCTTGGTACAAATCTTAAGAATCTCAATAAATATGTCTTGATTTTAGGAAAATAGATATTGATGGACCAAAATACCCTTGTTTATTAATTAATGCAGGAAGAGTGCTATAGAGTTAATGAGGGCAAAATTTAAAAATAAGCAATTAATGCAACATTGGAATTGTAAAGTGACAGATAATATGAAACAAAAGAAATCCTCAAAAGAGACAGATATTATGGAACAGAGGGAGTATTTGCAAAAACTTTTACAAATAGCTTATGAGCCGATACTTTTTTTTTCTATTTAAGTTTATTTTTATATAAATTGCGAACACTCTTGAACTTTTAGAAAAAAATTCAAAAAACAATCTTGTACTTCCAAAAAAAAAAATCTATAAATCCTTTAAATAGACATGTCTAGTCGATGTGGGAATTTGAATAGTAGATGTTGCACATGGTTATATATACGAGGTGAATTTGAATAGTAGATGTTGCACATGGTTATATATACGAGGTGAATTTGAATAGACATGTCTAGTCGATGTGGGAATTTGAATAGTAGATGCTGCACATGGTTATATATACGGGGTGAATTTGAACTGTAAATCTATACAAATCACACACACCCATGTGTATGTATGGTTACGGGTTAGTTATTTAATCAAATCTACGGTTAATATTATATTCAGCCTGTATAAATATCCAGGTGTAGCATCTAACTTCCCACTCATTCTCCAGGCGGCACTACCAACCTCATCCCGCACTGTGTCGACAAGCTTCGGAAGGAAATACTGAGCCGGTGCGGAGGCTCCCCACTAGCCATTACCATCGCCGCCGGATATTGGAACTCTATTACGAACAAGGACGATACGACTTTCGATCCAAACAAAGCGTTCGACGAAATTAACTTGCATCAAGATGAAACTGCAGACCCGGAGCGTAGCCTTAGAAGTATGCTGCAGTTATGTTACTCCAACTTACCCCTCCGCCTCAAGGCGTGTTTTCTCTACCTAGCACAGCTCACCCGTTCCGACAGATCGGAAATACGAGTGGACGAAATTTACTTACGGTGGATCGCTGAAGGCCTTGTAGTAATATCCGAAGATGAGTCCGCAAACACGACGAAGACGGACATAACCGAAAACTATTTGTTGGAATTGGCTCGGAGAAATATGGTCCGGCTCAATGGGGAAGAATTAGTAAAATCCTGTCAGATTCACCCTCTCGTACGTGATTTCTGCGTCGATCAAGGAGAGAAGGAGAAATTATTCGAGGTCGTCGCGGGCCGGGGATTCGCCACGGCCGTAATACCGAAATCTTTGGCTAGTGGACTAACAATAGAAATGAACGCGTATTGTGAAGATCGAGCTGCCGTACCCGCCGTCGTCCCGCATGGCGGAGGGAATAGCAGATGCTCCTCCCTCTACTTCATGGACACGGTCGAGCCGGTAGTGGATTACGCGGCCGCTGATTGGAGACGCGTGGAGGTATTCGAGGTTAAGGAGTTCATGAAGCGGGTATTAAGAGTGGTGGAATTCGACGGAGTCGATTTCCGGTTATGGAAGCTTCCGAAAGGGATGGGGAACCTTGTGTTCCTCAGGTATTTGAGTTTCAGGAGATGCCACCTGGAGGAGATTCCTTCGTCGTTGGGGAACCTGTCGGAATTGAGGATTCTTGATTTACGCGTACGAGGACACTGCCGAGTTACGATACCGGATTTACTGTGCAAGTTTGCGAAAATCGAGCGTTTGTATTTCCCGGCCAAGTACCGGAGCGGCGCCGATCACGGCAGGCTGAACATGCGTGGGTTGACCGAGGTTGAAATACTCGTCAATTTCGACACGAAAGTTTGCTACACCGACCACCTCGAGGACATGAAAAAGCTGCAACGGTTCGACGTTGTCGTGGAGGACGACCACAAGGCGTTGGACAAGGTCGTCGACTTTGTCGACGATGTTGTATCCACGACGAGTTTCTCACTCGACGTCAGAAACTTCACCTGTTATTCGGACGAAAGAATCTCCGTCCTGAGAAAAATGCTGGTGTGCGAATCTCTTCGTAAATTGCAGCTAGAAGGGCACATCAAGAAGTTTCCGGACAATGTGGTCGGGATAATGTTGGCAAATGTGGAAGAAATCGTGCTCGACGGGTCGGAGCTGAAAGTGGACCCCATGCAGAGATTAGGGAAGCTTTCGAAGCTGAAGAGTCTCGACATGCGCAACGACGCATTTATAGGGAAGGAAATGGTATGCCACGGATCCGATTTTCCCAATCTGAAAAGCTTTAAATTGGTGAACTTTCACTACTTGGAAAAGTGGACTGTGGAACCAGAAGCTATGCCAAAAGTTTCGACTATGTGGATCGAAAAGTGTTCGAAATTAAGCTCGACGCCCGCCGGCCGGTTCGAGTTTGCTCATAATATCAATAATGAATTGAATATCGTCTGCTGATCATGTAAGTTTCTTTTATACATTAGTGAGTGTGTGTGTGTGTGTGTGTGTGTGTGTGTGTGTGTGTGTGTGAATAAATGGTTTCTGTACTATATGTTTGGGATTATTTGTTGATATGTTGTTTTTGAGTTTGCATGCATGCAGTTGTGTATCATATTGAATAATACTGTATTCATTTGAGCAAATGGCTTTGTAATAAATACTTATACTTGATTTGTTTGTTAATAAATAATTTTTGAGGTTGTATTTATTCACAGATTGATGGATATAGGGGTACAAATCCGAATGCAATTTTCGAATTCCGTAAATTCCAATCCGAAAAAATCCGAATTTGAAATTGTATTCTTCATTACAATTTTTCTGAACTTCCAGTTTCCGAATTTTCTCGAATTTGGATGGTATATAAAATTACCGAAAATTATGGGGATGTTTGTTTTTATTTCCAAAACCCATTTCCAATTTTATACTATTTATAAAACTGAGATCATGTTTGTTTGATAATTTTATCCAGAAAATCTTTTTTTTTTTTATCAAATTTCTATTGAAAATACACTATTCATATTTTTTTTCAATTTTCAAACCTACTAAAACCTACTAACTAACCTATATATTTTATTCCACCAACTCATTAATTTCTCTCTCCTTCTATTCATTGCTCCTCATTAATATTTACCAAGGTTGTAAAAATCGGTAATCGGGTCCGAGTCGGTCAGGCACCGACTCACGATTTATAATCGGTGCGGCGGTGATTAATCGGTAATAAATCGGAAATAAATCGGTTTTTAAAATTTAATATAATATATTTCTAAATATTATTTATAAATGCTCCAAACATATATAAAAAGATATTTAAACATAGTTATATCTCCATCATGTATATATCCTAATAACATAATAAAAGTTTAATAATCATAAGATCATAATACATAAATATCCTTATAAAATATAAATAAAAAATATTTTTTTTGAATTTACATTTATTCTTGAACATTCGTGGCATACATCATTAGTTCTTTAACAATAACAATTAACATAAACAAAGTAAGGCATAAACTCGTATTTTCTTTTATTAAAATCCAACTTTTATTTTGAATTATAAAAAAAAAAAAAAAAAAAAAAACTGATTTTTAACCGATTTTTGCCACCGAGTTTGACCCGCCTTGAAGGTTTGACCGCCTCAGACCGCCTCGGACCGACTCAGACCGCCTAAAACCGCCCCACGGGCAAAAAACCGATTTTTCAAACCTTTACACTAAAATCGTAAAGGTTTTGGACC